ACTTCTAGCCTCCAGAACTGTGGAAGGATCATCCCTGTTGTTTTAAGCACCCTGTCTGTGGTAATTTGTCGTGGCAGCCCCAGGAAACTAATACAGACCCAGGAGCTGCAGAGGAAAGCCTCGGGCAGCTCAGGCAGATTGCCAGGGATGAGAGCGCCTCAAGCAACCGCTCCTCCGCCTGCGAGGGCTCCGTGAACCCAGCTTCTGTCCCCTTCCCTTGGCTCTCAGGGTCCCCAGGAGCGCCCCCATGCAGGTAAAGCTCTGAGTTCCTCCAGAAATGCTCCTCCACTCCGGGAAGCGGCGAGGCAGGTGCCAGCAGGCCGGGCCCCTCTCCTGGGGCAGCCCAATCAGCTCGGGGCGGGCGGTCCAGGGATGGGCCAGTGGCTCCAGCCTTGGCTATAAGTTCATCGCAATCACCTCCGACATTTAAAAAATACTAATGACTGAGCCGGCCTGGGACTCTCCTGGCCATACCCCCAGTAAGTGCAGCCAAGCGAGAGGACCCACAAGGGACCCATGAGAAACCCTAGAGTTCGCTGCCTCGGAATCCTCCCTCCCACTCCCAGTGGCCACCTGCAGAGGCCTGAGACCGCCACATGGCTCTAGCGCAGGTTTCGAGCAGGTGGCTCAAGGACCAGGCCTGCAGGTGTGTTTTGTTGGCCTATGAGAGGGGAGGGGCCTGGCCACACAGAGGGTCAAGTCTCATCACAGCACAGGTACAAGAAGGTGTCTCCCATTGCAAATTTTGAAAATAATTTCTTAGTTGGGGGCTTATACAGAGATTTGTGGAGCCATGACTCTCACCAGGATGCTTGTCAATTTTATTTTTTTGCTGCTTCTAGTGAGTGGATCAGATGGGGTGACGGGTTGGGTGGCAGAGGCTGGGGATGCATGTGCCAAGAGGAGAACAAAATGCATGTGTGTTGAGGGGAGGAGGCAGCAGCAGATCTGCTCTCCAGGGGCCCACAGGCTGTCAAGGTGGCATCTCCCCAGGGCCTGCCAGGTGGACAGCGCCCCTGAGAGGTCTAACAGGGGAACCCGGCTCTGCCCAGCCAGGTCCTCATGGGTCCTCATGCCAGCCCCTCGGGGCCTCAGCATGCTCAGCCCCAAGGCAGAGGGAGGACTGACTGCTACCCAGATGAGGCTGACCCTCCCAGCCCTCCCTGTCCTCCACACAAGGCTGAGGGTGGGGTGAGATTCTATTTTCTCCTACTTTCTCTCCAAGCAAGTAAGCACTTGACAAACATCTGTTGTCAGAATGAGTGGAGGGAGGGGGCAGGAGGCAGAGCCAGAGGCACACAGGAAGGATGGGAGGGAGGGCGAGGTGACTGGTTCTGGGAATTGTCTGGGCACCTCAGCTAATGGAGGTGGGCTGGCGGCAGGCTCTGCTGGGCGGTCCTGGCTGATGGACAGGATGTCTGTGGGGGTAGCTGGGAGTAGTCACCGTGCTGGGGACAACAGGGAACATCCCCCAGAGCCCTTTGGGGAGCTTGTCTCCTTCCCAAATGTCTCTGCCACTGAGTTAAGAAAAGCAAACAAAATAACACTTCCCCCTTTCCATCTCCAGAGAATTCATTAAGATGAGCCCTGGCCTCCTAGCCTAATTACCATTTTAAAGGGTATTGGGAAAGAAACTTTACCTGCTGGGAAAACAAGTCAGCAAAGCCGGCAGTGGAGGGCACTTGCTCCCCCTGGGCTTTCTCCCCTCTCACCACAGGGACATGGGGCCTCCGGCCTCAGTCTGGTGGGGCTAAAACCAAGGCAGAGAGTGTCTCTCGGAGCCACATTGACACCATCAGGCGTTTGACATCAGCTATGGCCAGGCCCGGTGCTGGGCCCACGAATAGTGGTGGATCCGAGGGGTCGTGGCCCCAGCCACCCCAGAGCCCATCCAGGAGCCAGAGCACAGGGGAGCTCCTGTGGAGTCAGGAGGCTAAGAGAGCCCAGGACAACGTGATAAGGGAGAGGGTGCCATGGAGGGGGCGGAACACAGACAAACGTGCCCTGAGCTTTGATGAGTCAGAAGAACATTTCACAGCAGGGAAGGCAGGGCGTGCTGGCAGAGGTGACACCATGAGCCAAGGAGTGGGGCTGGGGCAGCGTCACTATGTGGGGAGCAGCAAGCGAACGGGCCTCGGGACAAGCACTGAGCAAGCGGATACTGGAGGTGTTGTGCCCAGATTTCAAGATTCCCAAGAGCCCACCAGGGAGCCAGCGAGTCCGATGCAAAAGCAAAGAGTCATTTATTTCAAACCTAGGTTTGGCTCCCCTGCCACACTCATCGATGCAACGGTAAGCCCCAGTGGCCGAGAGAGAGACTGAAGCCTGATGGGACAGGGGGTTTTATAGGCGGGTAGAGTGAGGGCAGGAGAGGGGACTGTGGGCCCCACCGATTGGCCAGGCGCGAGTCGGTACAGGATGTGGTCATAGTGATGGCGTGCACTTCCCTTGATTATTATTGGTTAGTCCAGAGAAATCCTGGGTGTGGCTAGCAGCGGCTTCTTCCAGGAAGAAACACATGGCTATGTCCCAAAATGGAGAACCCAAGGCAAGATGGAGGGCACAGTTCTCGTCCGGCTCCCGGTGCCGCCGCTCAAACACGCCGCAAGGCAGGATG